GCCTCACAGTGTCATGTCAGGGCTTTTCCCTCTTTTAAAATTTTATCTTATTGGGGGCTGGAGTGATGGTTCAGTGGTTAAGAGCATTGCCTGCTCTTCCAAAGGTCCTGAGTTCAATTCCCAGCAACCACATGGTGGCTCACAACCGTCTGTAATGAGGCCTGATGCCCTCTTCTGTATACATAATAAACAAATAAATATTTTAAAAAATTTTATCTTATTAATTTTTATTTATATATATAATTTATATAAACATATACATACACACATATGTATTTTTTTCACCCTGTGCCTTCTCTTGGAATATTTTCCTTCTGTTTTGTCCAACTCTGATGTGTTAGTTTTTTATCTTATTATATATTAATTATGTATATTATTCCTTAGGAGCCTGTTTATTTTCTAATGAGAGACAGAAAGGGTGATATAAATGGGAGGTGAGGTGAGCAGGAACTGGAGAGGGATAGAGGGAGGGGAAACCATAGTCAGGATACATTATGTGAGAAAAAAATCTATTTTCAATAATGGGGAAGAAGAAAGTCAATTGAATATCAAAGATGGTTGAACTTCAATATTGTTACATATATCTAAGCTTCCTATTAAAGGATCAATAATATTTAGATGAATATTCTGCCTTTCTACTATCGCTCTATGATGTGAGATTCCCCTCTGTATGCTGTGAATACTATTGGTTAATGAATAAAGAAACTGGCTTGGCCTGATAGGGTAGAATAGAACTAGGTGGAGAAAACTAAACTGAATGCTGGGAGAAGGAAGGTGGAGTAAGAGAGAAGTCATGTTGCCCCACTGGAGACAGTTGCCAGACTTTACCAGTAAGCCACAGCCATGTGGTGATACACAGATTAATAGAAATGGTTTAAATTAATTTGTAAGAGTTAACCAATAAGAAGCTAGAGCTAGTGGGCTGAGCAGTGATTTAAATAATATAGTTTCTGAGTAATTATCTTGGGGCTGAGCAGCCAGGAACAAACAAGTGATCTCCTACTACAACTCTATAACATGTATTCCTTGGACCTCCTTTCTAATAGCTTCTATTTATAATTACTGATTATATTTTTTACATAATGATTGTTGTTTATCTTGTTTTACATTGCAGTGATGGCATTCTTCCATTCCTGCTGTGGTTTTAGTTTTTAGTTTCTTTCTGATTTTAATTTGGTGAAGCTTTTCCTCCACTGAGGCTTTTGAATGGCTTTAAAAAAAATTGAAACAACCTAGGGGCTGGAGAGATGGCTCAGCGGTTAAGAGCACTGCCTGCTCTTCTAAAGGTCCTGAGTTCAATTCCCAGCAACCACATGGTGGCTCACAACCATCTGTAATGAGGTCTGATGCCCTCTTCTGGCCTTCAGGCATACACACAGAAAGAATATTGTATACATAATAAATAAATAAATAAATAAATATTTTTTTAAAAAAAAAAATTGAAACAACCTAACTGAGCTGGGTGGTGGTGGCTTCTCCACTTCATTTTTAAGAAGCTTTTGGTACTATACAGTGTTCCATATCAATTAACTGTAGAGGAAAAACATTCAAATACATTTTATTTTCCAGCATAGTTCTGCAGAGGATATCTCTGCTCTTCTTTTAGGGCCACTTAGTCATTGTTTGGATTTTTTTTACAAACAACAGCATTGGTTTAACTGCTGTGACTCAGCACACTTGTTCCTGTGTGAGTGGTTTGTAAAGTCAAATTTAATATGTGTTCCCGAAATTACTGATATTTAAGCAGATGGAAATAGTTGGCTTAATCCCTAAAGTGGTTCAAAGAATTTCATTACTGTTGACACAATTTGGTCTCATCTCAGGGTAGTAAATTCTGACTATCATATACGTGATTGTAGACAAAGACTGTGCATTCATTTTCCAGCCTCTCAGTCCTGAATAATAACATAGAAACTATATTAATTACAACATTGTTTGGCCTTTTCTGTGGGTGCTGGGGATCTGAACTGAGGTCCTCACACTGTGTGGCAGGCACAGAGAGAGCCACCCCATCCCTACTCCATCCCCGGATCTATTTTATTTCTAGACATAGGACAATACATGAGAGAAATGTTTCTCTGAGAGCTGAATGGTATAGATCAAGAGAACAGATGTTCTGAGTATGGGTTGTATGTGTCAACAATTGGATGTAGTGCACAATATAAGTTCCATATACTTTTAATAAATTCATAATTAGGTCACCAGAATTGGAAATGAGACTAGTGTTATTGAGGCCATGAAGCTCGGAGCAGGAAGCTCACAGATTGAAAAAAAAATGTTCAAGGAATTTTAGTATATGAGAAAAACATGTTCTTAGTGGTTACTAATGGTTTAATGTTCAGTTAAGAATCATTTTTAACTTGTTAATCAAATGGCATTTTTTTAAAAGACAACATTTCCCTAAATAATTGCATATTCACACAGGTAATAAAAATCTTATCTTCAAACATTTAACATCTATTAAAATCTAATAAAAAGCCTTTCAAAATGAATTATTATAAAATCATAACTCATTAATTTTCTAAGCCTCACAAAATAAATGTAAAATAAAAAATATTTTTAAAGTCCACTAGTAAAGATTAAACATTTCTCTTCATTCTTAGTCTTCACATTCCCAGAGTCACATGGGGTTTGCTAATCATCGATTAACACTTGCTTAGGTTTTTAGCAGCCTGACTAAGTCAAAAGGAACACGAACCTCACTTTGGGCCACCTGACTCCCCTGGTCCCTGGGTGTAAATGACAGATCTTCAGACTGTGCCAGGAGTTCCAGGACAGCTAGGGCTGTTACACAAAGAAATCTTATCTCGTAAAACCAAAAATAAAATGAAATAAATGTTTTATTAATTCTTTGAGAATTTCACACAGTATGTTTTCACTATATTCCTTCCCAACTCCTCCTCTAACTCCTCACAGATCCACACCCTCATCTCTGGGTCCTCCTTTTTAATAATTTAATAACTTGTCGCTTCTGGCTTATGCTATCTACTCAAGTGTGGTCAATTCACCAAGTGCCAAACCTTTAAAGAAAGTTGACTTCCTCTACCTCAGAAGCCATCATCTCTGTGTATCTCCTCAGTTAGGTGTTAGGGCTGATGTTGCACCTTGCACTCTGTGCTGAACTGTTGGCTGACTTGATCTAGTACTTGTCTCCTGCAGGTAACTCAGCCGCCGTCACTTCACGAGTATAGTGGTCCTGTCGTGTGCAGAAGACGCTGTTTGACCCTGGCCCTCCCTGGCCTCTGACTCTTACACATTCTCCACCCCTTTTTCCTAGGCAGTCATTGAGCCTTGGGGAGGAGGTGTAATACGGTTGTCCCACTTGGGGCTGAGCTCTCCACGGCCGTCTGCTATCTGCACTTTCATGAGTTGTGAGCGTCTGCAGTAACCACCATCAGTTGCACAAAGGGATTTATCTGAGGAGGTCTGACAGCTGCTTCTCTCCAAAGTCTTACACTTAAAATAGTAGAGATCACAGCATGAGAGGAGATTGTTGGAGGAGAAAGACATGGAGAGACAGACAGACAGAGACAAAAGCACAGAGACACAGAGACAGACATACAGACAGAGACAGAAATGAAGAGACACAGAGATAGAGACAGAGAGGCAGAGACAAATTCAAGGAACTATTTGACCAAGCCCTGAGGACTTTATAGGTGAGATCCATAAAAGTTTGTTTGCTAACACTGCCCTGGCCATGTCTCAGGATGCCAAAAATCATTTCTGGTATAAATTTAGAATATTAAAAAATCAAAGGACTTGAGCTGGGCTTGTTTTCTTGTGCCTGCAGTATCAGTCCTTGGGAGATGGGGCGGGGGGGGGGGGGAAGAGGATCATAAATTTGAGGCCAAACCTAGGTTTTTATAGAGCAAGACCTTCTCTCAGTTTAAAAATTAAAGACATTTTGCTCCTGAAGATTATATTCACAGAGCAAAAGAGAGCTCTTGGTCTTTGATATAGTAATTACATAGCCTGTGACCTTGGAGACCACCACACACCCTGGACTCACTGTTCTAATGAGTGGAAATGAAATCGTGCTTGTATTTAGAGCCAAGAAGACTGAAATTCGAACCAAGTGGTAGAACAAGCTGAGAATTTGCTGGAAATACAAGCCCTTGATTGGAATCATCTCTGGAAAACCCTGGCCAGAATAAACACAACAATCCTGTAGGGCAATGGCCCAAGGTTACCTTGGTAAATGTAGTACATAGTGTACACCTCACTCCTTTGCGTCATCTCATTCACGGATCTTCTCATTGAAAAGGACAGAAATTCAAGCCCAGTGAAAGTAGGAAGAAGAAGGAATTTACTTGTCCACTGAGAACCCTAAGTTTTGAAGTAGGGTTGGTTCTCAGATCAGCTGGATTATATTATCAAAGATCTTCTCTCCCCCATCTGCCCTGATGTCCTTGGAAACTGCCTTCTCTTCTAGGTTTTCTCCTTCTGCTGGGACCTTTGCCTTTGAAAGTTTCAGGCTCATCTGATGCCACAGTACCTGATTCCAGCGGTGACAATAGACCCTGTCCTACACTCCAGATATTAATGACTGGAAAGAACCTGACTGTCCTACTCAAGACAAGTCCCACTGGGTGATTACCCTGTGTGTATGTTAGGGATGGAAGTGGGATGGTCCCTCTGAGAAGATGACAAACAGGGATAGGGAAAGGGAGGAAGCACATGACTCTGGGGGTGTCTTGCAGGAGTCCCGAGCTTCCTGCTAAGACACAGGATGTGCGCGAAAGGAGGGCAAATGTCTAAACCAATCAAACAGAGTCAATTTTGGGATTACCAGCCTCGGGTACAATAGGGTTTCAGATGCCGGACAGAAGGCATGTTTGTGCCAAATACAGATTTTCAGTTGTACAACAAATGATGGTAGGACATGCTCAATGAGCGCCTGGAGGCTCACTCACAGGGCCTCTTTGTAGCTGTAGCTCCTGGAAATCCAAGAATACTAAGCAGGATTTCATCACACAGACTCACAACGAAGAACAACAACGTCAATGTGCAAAGTCAGATTTATTGAAGTAATACAACAATATGTTCTTAACATGATCATGTTATGTGAAAATTGCATCGTTTCTCAAAGCATTTCTCACTTGCATAAGCATAGCTGTGCTCCAGTATGAAGGCAAACCCAAAGCAAAACAAAATCAAAACCAAACTCTTATATTATCCATGACCAAGTTCACAGCCTAAATGCTGCCACCATGCTGCACGCTCCTGAGCCCCACTGATGGGGCTCCTTTTCAAGTCATTGCCCTTCCCCGGGTACAAAAGCACAAAAAAGGTACTAAGGCACAAAGAGAAATAAAAATTGAATAGTTCAAAAATAGCAGTGAAAAAAAAAATCAATGTTTTCTGATCACACACAACAGCAGGGCCAATGCTCCAGATGTTGCTTTACACATTTCTCCCACAGTTTGAAGGACCTGTGGCCATTCATCATGGACAGTCATTTTGGGAGTTAGATTTTAGAGCATCTTTCACGATGATCACAGATGTTTTCTCATGCATGTCTCCTTGCTAGTAGATAACTTAAGTTCAAGGAACTACAGAAAGATTTAAGTCAGGGGGAGCTGGCCACTTTCTGAGCCTTAGGGTACCTGATCTTTTTATTTTGCGGTTTTAACAGAAAAAAAGGTTATTGTTAGGGTTGCTATATTCAGAAATAAACTTCTGTGTTTTATAGAAGATCTTTATCTATCTATCTTATCTTACTGAGGCAGAGTCTCACTATGTAGCCCTGGTTAGCCTGTAACTCTCTAAGGAGACCAGGTTGGCCCCAAAGTCAGAGATCTGCCTGTCTCTGCCTCTCCTATGCTGGAATTAAAGACACAACCTATCACAGCTCTGTAATCTCTTTCTCTTCTTTAAATTCTAATCTTTGAATCTGCTCAAATTCACCTTGTAACTAAAACAGAAAAGAAAGTATTGACAAAGAAACCCTGGGAAGGTGTGGGTGGGCATTGCTCTAAGAAAACAGAAACAGAAGCCAGCAAGCTGTCGCAGGCACAAACCGGTCCCATCTTCATTATGCGTTTGGTTTCGGCACTGCTGAGCGCCTCAGACCGGCTCATGGAAACTACACACATCTCCGTTCACTTCTCGGACTTTTTCTGCCTAACACGGGCTGATATATTTCCGCCATTACGCAGTAACTGGAGCGAGGTGTCAGACCTTCAATTTGAACAATTCTCTGAGTCCCTTCATAGGCCTTTTGCTCCTACACAGGACAGAAATCAGAGGATGAAGTTTCCAGTGAGCTACTGATTTACTTTTCCTTTGTTAAAATCAGTGATTTGTATGTGATCGATGTAGATCTTCAGGTAAAGCCTCCTTCCCCAAAGCCCTGGGCCATAACTGGAGAAAGTCACTTGTTAAATGGTCAAGCCGCATGACTTCTCCTTGAAGGCTAAGGATGGTTGGAGCTGTGGCCAGAGTCCCATTTTCGAGTATTTAAGTTCTGAGTCAGGAAATGACCTGGACTTGCAGGGGTTACTGAGCAGGCAAACTTGGTCAAAGAAAGGGAAGGGGTGCAGGGGGGAGGGAAGGAGAGAAAGAACAAAGACAAAGAAGGAATCCAAAGACTCAGCTCCCATTTTACTTTTCTGATTCTTAGAAAGTCTGGCAGCACCTGTTTCTTGTTTCTGGCTATCATGGATGGCTTCTTGTGTCTTCCTGAGCTAGCCCTCTGCCCTCTTCTTCTGTAGTTGAACCAGTTACACTACTTTTTTTTTTTTGTCTTCCAACTTAATAAGCCCTGACTTAGATGGATACAGAAAAAGACATTCTGTTCACCATAGAACCTAGATAAAGGTGCTGATAGTGGGCTTTCTATTACAAACTACCACAGCAAGACTGCTAAACAAGGGTGGGAGTGGGGAGGGGAGGGACTTGCAGGAGAAGAGAGAGGGAAAACTGACCGAGATGTAAAATCAATCAATCAATCAATCAATCAATCAATCTCCCCAAAGAGACTGCTAAATGATACTGCAATTCAAAGGCTGGTGAAATAAATAGGGAATATAAAGCTAACAAAATTAACATTAGCAACATAAAAATGAATGAAATATTTATATTAACTTTTCACTATGCAAGGAAGTCTAAGGAGGCAAGCTGACTATCTGAAAGGTTACATACACTACACACAGGAATGCGTGCACATAGAAGTTCTGATGCTGATAGAGACACTCACTCAGCTTCTCAGGGAAGATGAAAGAATAAAAAGACAGGGGAAGATCTGGAGACATGACATCAAAGTGACAGGTCGTGGGATAGAATCAAAATGCTCGTTAAGCAAATGAAAGACCCAGACATCGAGTCACTGGAACTCACCTTTTCTAGCAAATTGTCAATTATGAAAACTCGGTATACCAAGTTGTAGTAATTTTCCATAGATGTATTGTTTCCATTTTGGGCTCTGTACGGCAACTCTGGGGCACGGAGGAGCACCAGCAAAGATCCATTAACTTGGACCATAGTCACGGCGGGAGGGTCCAGCTTTGCTGGAGAAAAAATAAGTAATGTTGATAAAGCATTCCAAACAGCTGACTGTTACGGATTGGCACCATACACCATGTTAATCACTGCTGCGTTCTGAAGTGTGTCAAAATCATTATGAAGATAGTTTTCCTTCCATTTGTAAAAGACTGATCTCAGTCTCTTTCAATATTGAGAGAACGCCTGCCAATCATTTTGTCAACTCTATGATTTCATCATAGATTTTATACTTAAGTATAAAAGTTATGTAGAGGGGGGGCTTAGAACAAGAAAGGTATTATCTAGTTCCTTAAAGAGGTAAGATTTCAGAGCAGTTTTAAAATCATTCAAAGACTTGTAGCTATTAAATTAATTCAAGAGGATTATGTTGTATATTATGGGAATGGCTGGGTAGAAAGAGAATTTTTGGGTCATGCATTTTGTTGCCAATAACTGTTTTGTTTCTAGACAGACCTCATGAGTCGGAGCACCGTGGGCTGTGACAGGTTGCTTCTCAGAGCAGGTCTTGGGAGTGCCAGTGCATACAGGTGGCTCATTAACTAGCACACCAGGCTGTAGGAACATACTGTCCTCAGATCCTGGAAACCTGTTTTTTAACACAGGATGTTTGCACCGCCTCAGGAGTTGGGGAAGAAGAGGGCCAAGAGGAAAGTGAAGAGTCAGAGGAGGGGGTGGGACTCCTCCCAAGGGCTTCAGGTAGCTCAGCTTAACTGTTTTAGATGCTGGGTGTCTCTTCTACTTGGGAAGCTACAAAAGAACCCCCTACACATGCAAGGTTTTTTCTCTGTGAGGAGGAGTACTATAGAAATAACCTAAACCCTTGTTAACCAGATACCATCCCTATCTAAGTAGGACAGTCAAAAGTCTCCACTGCTCTGAGCCGGTGTCTTGGGCTGTTCTCATCTGATGGGTCAGACATTGATAAATATTTGAACTTGATCCCATTTCTAGCCTTAAATATAACAAATGACCCACATGTTCCCTGAATGGTACAAATCAGCTCAATTATGCAGCTTCCTCCTTTACCTCAGAGAATTGTTCATGGACTGACTTGAGTTTCAAGTCGTGCCCAGAAAAGATACTAGAGAATACAGGTGGGTTTGTTAATTTCTTCTGCTCATCTCCCAAGTAAAAAGCTCAAGATGATCAATCAATCAATCAATAAATAAAGTTACTTTTCTCCTGAGTTCCATTGCATCTAGCATTTTGAACCCAAGTCACTAAGTTTACGTCTAAGTGGACATTGCATCACTTAGAAGAGGTAGATGGATGAGTTCCAAGCTCTTCAGACCAGGGGCACCACACCATCACTACAGATGTTAACCAGAAGGAATTCAGATCTTGGGATATGTTCTCACAAACACTGATAGCAAAGTTGGCAAATGTCTGCCCGACTTACGGTATTTGTACTTGGAACTAAACACATTTATGTGGGGCTGAAGAGATGACTCAGCAGTTAAGAGCACTGGCTGCTCTTCCAGAGGACCAGAGTTCTATTCCCAGCAACCGCATGTGGCTCACAACCATCTATAGTGGGATCTGATGTCCTCTTCTGGCATAAAATTGTACAAGCAGATAGAGCACTCATACATAAAAGCTGAGGCTAGAGGCAGGTGGATCTCTGTGAGTTTGTGACCAGTCTGTTCCACAAAGCGAGTTCCAGGAAAGACAGGACTGTTTCACAGAGAAACCCTGTGTTTTTACATGGACTGTAAATAAGAGAAACAGGATCTGTGAAGTGAGAAAGCGTTGGGATAAAGAGAGAAATAATTGTTGTTTCTGAGTGTTTTGGGGTTAATAGATTGAAAGGTTTCTGTGTAAGCAGGGTGCTGAAGTTTTGAAACTCTTGCCCAGATTTCCAGGGTTATCAAATAGAAATAATAAAAACAAGTGCCTAGTGTAGTCCTGAGGATTGCCTCAGGATGACAGTATGGGTCTCAGCAGAGCACAGGACCTGGCCAAGCATCCAGAGGTTGTTCAAAGGCAGAAAGGAAATGGCAAGCGACTGGCTGAAACTCACTTTCCCACCACGGGGTGAAGCGGGGTGTCCTGCTCCAGGCGGAGTAGCTCCCAGCCCGGGCTGTCTTCACCCTCCCATAGTACGGCTCATACAGGTTTAAGGTTTCATTGGTCAGGTCACAGAAGAGCGCTGGAGTCCCCCAGCAGTCCGTTTTATTTTTCCATTGTCTCTCTCCATACCTGCAGAAGGGAAATCACAAATGTGAGTTTCTCCTCTCCCGCCTGAGGATGCCAGTTTTTCTAGTGTGTTAACCCTTTCTACAGTTTGAAATCTTATGCTGTCTTCAAGAATCTATGAAAGTCCTTTCATGCCAGTCAAGGCATTGGCTTGCTGAGCGCTAAACTGAACTCTGAAGCCTTCTGTGTCACTAACAGAAGCGCTTATTTCCTTTGGTGTGCAGCGGTGTGCTTCTTCTGGTATGTGGACCAGCTTCCATTTTAAGTCCTCCATCCACATCCTTCCCACTTCTGAACCCTCAACTACTGCCACATGCCTTCTCAGGTGATGCTTACTGAATAAACACACATGGCCCAGCTCTTTATTGAGTGGAAATTGCACTGAGGGTTCCTTAGGGAGCTCTGGTACTAAGGACCTGGGAGATAGAACGCTGCAAAAACGGGGTGAAGCAAAAGGCCAACCTGAGCCCATGGGGCGGCGTCAAAACCAAACCTTCCTACCGCTCACAAGTGAGAGAGGAAGACCACGGAATATGGCAAGCAGGAGGCTGAGGAGGAAGGGCCCGGTTGAAGGACTGACTTTGTCCTTCCATATAGTGAGCAATATTGCTGCTCCCTATCCTCTACCTTCTACGTAATTACAGTAGTTTCATGGTGTCAGGATTAAAACAGAAGCAGAAACACAAACGCAGCGCAATTGGATGAGCTTGGACCATCATTTAGTGATGACACATTGTCATTGTCAGAGGAGCGCATCTGTTGTGACTGAGCTTTCCTGTTTCCTGTGTGTGTTCTATTCAAAGTAGCACAGATATTAATTAACTATGAGCCATGCAAACAAATGAAAGTTCTCAAAATTATACATTGGTCTTGTGCTGTTGAAAATACGATGGGGACAGGAATCATCCCAGATACTCTGAGGTTTGAATTTTATGTAAACTTGAAGAATTGCAGATTAAAGTTTCGTGGAGCCTCGGGTTGAATCTTAGCTTCGTGGTAGAACAGTTTCAAATCCTCTTATTTCTTTGGCCACAGACAAGCTCGTTTTGGACCCGATTGTACTGCGTGCAGGGGACATGCAAACAGAGCGCCAGTCCCTATTTCCCACACGCCGCAAGCTTCTCCAGCTTTGTCCAAACCTTGTTTACAGACAGAGAAGCTTTTATTGAAAAGATTGCTACATTTTACAGAGGGAAATTAAAGAAAACACCAGGATACTGTTTTTTAAAAATTAATTCAGAGGAAATCTGAGCAAGGAGCCCACTCCAACTAAAGGGACATGGATGGATTTATGGATTAAGAGGCATTATTCTGACTCGTATCTACACCTGATTCCCTGGAGTTTTCACTACAGACCACGAAAGCTAAGCTGTAATTGCTCCTGCCTTTTATTTAGCCAAGTTTCCAAACTATTTAGGAGGAGGAGAATCTCAAAACCCTTATGGAATGTGTAGACTGAATACCCCTACTCTCCAATCAGGAGCGACTATTTCTCAGCCTTGACAAAGGAAAGGTGTTGATTACATCTGGGTTTTGGCATTGAACTGTCAAAGCAAGCACGAAGATCCGACAAGAGGAGCATGTTTCTGCGTGTCCTAGTGTGTGTGCTCACAGACGTCTTTAATACTTACATAGAATCTGGTAGATCATAAACCTACCCAAAGACAAATTTACCAGTTAATAATATCTTTTACATACTTCCATGTCTGCCTCAAGCTCAACCACCAGTAGCTTTGTCTTAATTGAGTGTTTGCTCTGGGCTGAGCGAGTGGCTGCCAACATCCATTTGACAACTTGAAGAGCCATCGTGTGCTGGAAATGTCCGAAGCCTAAGGACTCCTATCCTGAGCTCCCTGGAGCTGACTTATCTATTTGTCTTAAAGACTGCACACATTATCACACCTTTGTGTCCCCAGACAACCTTCTGTCCCTACTTCCGCTTCTGCTAAATCCTCCTGCCTGGAACTCCTCAAAAAGCCAAATAAAGCAAAATCTAAAGGTGTCCGTCTCCTCACACTCTATTGCATTCCAAAACATATTCCCTGGTAGCCCCTGTCAATGGAATCTACTTACATTTTGTATTGCACAAAGTAGATGCTGCCATTCCTAGTGAGGAAGCTCCCCGGCTGCCATCGCAAAATGTTGTGGAAATTTCTGGACTGAAACTGGACGTTCCGAGGCTTCAGAGATCCATGGGCTGGCTGAGTTTCTAAAGTGGCAAGAAGGACAGCGTTGGGCATGGCTGTGACGACTGCTGCCCACTGCTGCTCTGGGCGGCAGAAGATTTTCATGAAATCTCTGCATCAGGAGGCCCCCGGGAGCCACTCCAAGGGAAGGCAGAGGTGGCAGGGTCAAAAATCAACATTTTCGACTCTTTAGTATGATGGTGAGAAGCCCCTCCCTTCTCCAGTTCCAGGGAATGAACTCAGGGCAAGTTCTCTGCCCCTGAGCTACACCCTTAGCCTAAGGTAAAATTGCAGAATGATGTATTTCATACTAGAAAAACAGTTGATGATATCACCACCACACCCCCAATACTCCCCAATGGGTAAAGAAACTAAAACTCATGAAAAGAATAGAGAACATAATCTCTAGTTTATGCCCAATTAGCAATGGGCTAATGCTGTGAAAAACAGACAAACAAATAAAAAACCATTTCCTGTCTACTTGCTATAAGTACCTATGTAGAATTGTTCAGATTCACTGGCCCACACTCACGGGGAATTACTCAAGACCGTGGACTCTGGTGAGGGTGTGAAGTCACAGGCAGGAGAGGGCAAGACTTCGCTTGGCAGGATTATTTGCATTTCCTTCTTCAAATCATGTGACATGGGTGACCTAGCTTTACCTACATTTAATCTTACAGAGGCTGGGGATCAATAACAAAAGGTATTTCAGGGTTCAAAGTTTCTGATAAAGGAGAAAGGATGGTTTCCTTGGATATTTCTTCTTACCCATTGAATGGTGTTATGGTGTTGACATTGTCTTTTTTTGTATATGTTTTGAAAGCCTCCTGCAATGTGTGGATGTTAGTATGGACTAGAAAATGTCTATCCCCATGCCTTATTCTGTGCGCCCAAATCACTACCTGTTTAATCCTAGTTAGTACATAAGATTTAGTAGCAGGTGACAGGCACAATTTCTTGAAGCCCCACCCAAAGTTGACTTGCTAACCTGAAGATGGTTGTCTCTTGCACTGTCTCTTATGTCTTCTGACTCGCCTTGGATTTTTCTAACAGCTTCTCTGTCACCGCTGTTCCTAGTGACAGCTCACAGTGCACAGAGCACCAAGGGGCTTTTTCCATCACCTGCTCATTGAACTTGCCCAACTCCTCCTTGATAAAGATTTCCTCGACTGATCAAGAGACCCAGCCCTGGAGAAGTGAAGGGATCTGCCCAGGATCAGGCATGAAAGCTGATTTTGTGCCCAGTCTGACTCTATAGCCTGCTTCTTACTACTGAAAACTGAAAGTAAAGTTCCAGGCAAAAAGGAGCTGATGGTGGAGGCAGAGTAATGCAGTAATTATTATTATAATTGCCTCCTTCAATTCCTTCCTTCTTGATTCTTATTAATGAACATATAGAAGCATCCATCAGAAGCTGTGCTCCTTCTTTACAAAGTATCCACCGACAACTGCATAAGAGAGATTACTATTACTGCTGCCTTTCCGGTGTGGATACAGGCTCAGCAAAGTTACACGTCATGCCATGCCCCGGGTTACAGGTGCGGTACAGTCGGGAAGCAAGATCATTTACCAGCCCTGGAATTCTTGCTAAGTGAGTCCTTGCTACCAAGGACAAGAGGAATAGCCTACTCTAGTTCCCTTATTTCTGTCACTTGAATGTAGAGTCATAGAACAACTTCTTAATTGTGGACACTTACCTAAGCCACTTATGTGAGCATCCCCGTCTACTGACTCGAGACTCCAGGGCCCTTTCTGAGAGGTTTGTCTTGATAAAAACATTCTTGAAGAGTTCTCTGTCAGCACCATTTGTTTGTGGGCTCTGTTCTCTGGGAGAGGCTGCTTTAAATACTCAGCCTTTACACTAACTCTAAGTCTCCACAGTAACCTACAATCTTCATTCCACGGATGAGAGAAAGCTCAGATGGGGTGTTAGGTAAAATGCCTGTTTTTCAAGGTAACAAATGGCAGGTGAAATCTAGGCTCTATGTGGCTTAGGGTCTTGTGGCTTGTGCTCATAATCATTTGATGATTATATCTATATCTATATATTACACACACACACACACACACACACACACACACACACACACATATATATATATGAGAGAGAGAGAGAGAGAGAGAGAGAGAGAGGAGAGATAAAGAGAGAGACACACAGAGAGAGGTTGAGACCATGAACTGTCTTCTACTGTCTTCTACTATGAAAGTGATCCCTCTGTCGTGAACTCAGGTACCTGCTATTCATTCAGGATGCAGAGAGCAACTTACCCTATGTTTCCTGGAACCATTTAGTGACCTTACAGAGTTCAGAAAGCCATTCCTAAACTTGCCTTGATCAGACCCAAAACTGGCCAGTTAAAAGGAAGTAGTAAAGTACTTACCTATTCCGATGGTCAGGAAGGACCTGATGAGGAAGCCTAGAAAGTAAAGCTTCAGCATCATGGTGGCAAGTGTTCCTGTCTTTCAGTGAGGAGACAGCTGAGAAGAGGGAACTATAAAAATCCACACACGGATCGTCACTTCCGTGGGTTCAACCAATGGCAAATGTTTCCTTAAAAGAAATGTATTTTGTTACTTTATTTTTGTTACACTAAAAATTAGAAATCCCTTAATGCATATTTATATGTATATGTACACACACACATCTGTAAATGTTCTGACCACGTGACTTAGGGTTTTGTGTCTTGTGCCCATAATCACTTGATGACATTGAGAAAGAGAGAGCAAGAGAGAGAGAGAGAGAGAGAGAGAGAGAGAGAGAGAGAGAGAGAATCTCTGAACTGTACACATATATATACACACACACACACCTGCATGTTTATCTGGCAGTTTAATAGCAAATCCTGAGGGCAGGGTGGGACAGGAATTATGCAAGGTGAGTTGAATGAATCTTGAGGGAATTTGGCTTTAAGAGGCAGGATGTGTTTTGGGGACCAGGAGGACTTCAGAATAATATGCTTGGCAATTGTAGCAGCCCCAGCCCCTGGCAGCTGCTCAAAGAGTTGTAGGCAGTGCTTTTTGGATAACTTCTCTGTCTCCCTAGTATTTATGCCTAAGGCCCCTTGGCATTCCTAACTATTCCGAGAGCTCCCTGCTATACTGCTAACTTTTTCTTCTCCAAGGTGGCCTTGAACCCCTATCAATAGATGCCTCTCGCTTCCCAATCCCACCCCCACAGTTTCCAGCAACTAATCTCAAGGAAGATCTTCAAAGTTGCCAAACTAAATGATGACTGAAGAGAGTAACTGTGGAGGGCCATCAGTTTGAGCTGCAGCAAATCCGGTTCACAGCTCCATGAAGTCAGATTGAACCAACTCGTGGGCTCTTTGTCAGAGCTTCATCACATTGCTTTACCAACAACCCCCTCTCCCTGTGCTTTTGGAGGCATTAAAAACTATGCATATCAGCAAAGCAAAGTCAGAGGGTTTTTTGTTTGTTCGTTTGTCTGTTTTATGCTTTGAAGAGGCTCTTGAGGTCAAAAGAGGAAATGTACTCTGGCTTCTTTTTCATTGTATATGGATGAAAAAAAAAAAAGAAAGAAAGAAGAAGGAAGGAACAGTTTGTCATCTGCATTGAAGTCCACATTGTAGAAAGGGCAGTAGACTTTTGAACTGTAGTACAAGCCTGAAGGCACAAAAATGATTTGGGGCTAAACACATGAATACTCTTTCCTCTCTCCAGAGAGTGTATACAGGTTGAACGGACGTGTTTAGCATGAGAAGCACTTATTCTATACTTAGAAGGCGACCAAAGGAAATTTAAGATCTTGAGTTTGTGACTATAATAATGGTCAGTGTTTATCAGCGCTAGATTAAGAGCTTATCAGACTTCTATTGATTAATGTCAAGACTCTGGACTTTTAAAGTCTTAGCTTAACAATAGCATAGCGATGGGAAGATTTTTTTCATTTTTATATACGTTGATCACTTTCTTACACTTTTATAACGTGCATAGACTTTAAACTTTTTTAGTCCAGTTATTTAAAATGAGACATGGGAGGTTGATAACTGAGAGCCCGCACTGTAAAGCAAGTTCCTTTAAGTAAAGGAATAGTAAAAAGTTACTCAGAAACCTGTTTTGTGAGTTTAATCTCTTTTCAGAGTCTGGTAGCAAGATAAACTGTTTGTCTTTCTCAGCTGGGGGCCTAAAAGCTCCAGGTGAGTAAGGCCTGATTTTTCTATGTCAGGAGACCTGAGGAGGCAGCTGAAGCCTGGGAGGGGGAGGGGGTTGGGTACTTGCTGATGGTTAAATTGACAAATAGTCAATATCATCAGGGATCCGAGAAGACTAAATGATAGCTGGAAGTATAATCTCAATGGTCTATGTATCAATTAAAACAACCACGATCCATTACTTAGACAGGTTACCTTAGGCTCCCAGAGTTCTTTGGGAGCAGAAGTCATTGATCTTTGTAATATGTTTTCTGCCTCCCCCCACAAATGAGCTTCTCCACTGACGCAGTAAGATCAAGGTGAATTGAAAAAGTAGGATAATAAGCATATTTGAGCAGTTCTGTCCATATTGGGTCATGGTCTGAGTGGATGAAGACGGTTGGCCAGGTCTCTTCCTCTTAGTGTGGTAGCCTGTAGCTGACCAGCTGGACCTCTTTCCACCCACACACTAAATTCCCCAGGTTTCTAGAGGACATAACTGGTCATTTCCGGTCTCGTTATCGAGGAGGCAGCTACCACATACAGGAAGACTGCGGAACCTTGGGTGTGACAATAACCCAAGTCTCTAGGACTGCCCAGGAGAGGGACAACTGGAGAACCGCCATAAACGGGCTGCCTATGCATGCTGAAGAAGCATTGCTGGGGTAGAAATGGTATTGATGATGATGATATTTGAGCAGAGCAACTCCCAGGCAGGTTCTCCAATACCAGAGATCAAGGCCAGAGAAGTTACACCCCATGCGTTGGAGGCTAGGGGTGATGACCCGACATGCCTGCCACAAGCTGGGTTTGTGCCCAAGTGTGGTCGAAAATGGAGCACTCAGGTAGGAACTTGGTTAACTGGCAACTTCAGGGGAGGGAGCTGCACTAGCCACCAGGAATTGAGCTTTGGGGGCCTTTCTTTTGTTCAGAGACTCTCTGAACAGGAAGTGTTTGGACAGAGAGAGAGAGAGAGAGAGAGAGAGAGAGAGAGAGAGAGAGAGAGAGAGAACTTTTTGGATCATGGAGAGGCTAGCTGGAGGTTCCAAACCAACAAACCAACACTTTGGATGTCCCAACAAACCAACACTTTGGATGTCATACAGGATAGCAGAAGCCTTTGACTGTTCAGACTCAGGTCTTAGAAATTTTTCCTGTAAAGGAACTTGGGAATGCTGACTTTACTTTTACCAGACAAAATAGGGCAAGCAATAAAAAAATGTCCAGTTTGTGCAGAGTGCTGGTGGCAGGCAGGACATGAGGTGGTTTCAGGCAGGGTTAGCCTTACCATGATCCAGGTGGAGCCATCGTGTTCCATATGTCTCCCTTGGAGACCTTAAGGGTCCCTGCTAGGAGGGGCAGTATTGTCTTTTGTGGGAAGCTTAAACATTAAAAATGCATGTTCAACTGATCTCTTAAGAGTTTGAGGACCTTCTATCTATAAAGCATATCTTTTTTTTTTTTTTTACTTACTTTAGGCTTAACTTGGAAAACACATAAGAGGCCAAATAGAGGTTGTCACTAAATGAACAGTGTACAAGTTAGTAGATTAACAAAGTCACCAAAGACAAAGGAACTAGACAAATATGACTGTGAACCTAAGTAGACCTTAAGAATTTATAAACCTTACTTATCAAATATACTTTATTTATTAAACATATGTGGTTACTTACCTAAATTTTTTATAAACATGGTATTGAACAGTTAGTCAAGACATAAGTAGTTAGAAATACATTACAAAATTTTGTCACCATACAAAAGTCCAGACCAGTGCAAAATATTTTAGAGACCTGTTGCTGCTTCCTTGGTCTAAAAGGGGACACATGATAAACCAAGGGTCAGTAGGACTTAGAAGTTCTACCATTGTTGTTTTAAACCTTGTGGTCATCTTAAGGTGGTGGAGTCATATTGCATGTATCCTTTAACCTTAGTAAATATGGCTGCCAGCTATGTCGCTGCTTACATCTTGATGATGTCATCAACCAATATTGAGGAGAGCCACACGGCTGCTATTTTAAAACACCTATTTTCCTATATAAGAGTCAAATCCAAGTTACATATATAGTAGATTCTAAACCAGAGTTGAATCATATATGTCATATGTTGTGGCAAACTAAAATCCTTATGTATAGTTTTTAATTATAAACCTTTTGTTATAAGTTTTAAGGTAATTTTTTGTGGCAGATTTTATATATTTTAAACCATACCCAATGAACTTATAAATCCTGAGACAGAGTTTACAGCATAGTCTTAAGAGTTTTTTTTTCCTTTAGCAGAGCACAGAAAAATCATAGAGATAATATTTTTAAGAATGAGAAGATGTGGAACCTTAGGGATAAGAGACTTTGGGGTCGTTTACTTTTGTGGTAGCAGAAGTTGTTACAGTCTGTGAGTATTTGAAAATCAGCTGTGCCAAGTTTAGGCCTTTGTTGTGTACTGAGGCCAGTCTGTAGTAATAGGGTAGGAGCCTGTAGACAAACACAAAGAGAGAGGCAAAGTGGAACATTGTGTGCAGGGACGGGGTGTTCCTGTCAGTTCCACGAGGGGACTGAGAACTGAAGCTCTGGGAACCTAGGAGCTGACAGGAGGCTTAGTGGGACTGCAGGTATAGCTGACAGGAGACTTAGTGGGACTGCAGACAGGAGCTGACAGGAGGTTTAGTGGGACTGCAGACAGGAGCTGACAGGAGGTTTAGTGGGACCGCAGATAGGCTGTAGTTCCCCGAGGAAGGCTCGAGAAAGCTAAGAGAGAGCAGGGAAAAGGGATCCAGTGGTAGAGACCCAGACAGGTGTAGCAAGCCAGAGCCCAGAGCTGACTGAGGTGGATAAAGTATCATGCTGACAAGAATTTCCATCTAAGACATCCCCAAGAAGAAAGAGAAACTTGTCAGAGAGAAAAATGCTCCAAGTCACAGAGAAAAGGCATCTCTTGTCCTTGTAATTGGAGCCCAGTGAGGATGAGAGGGCCTTCCTGGCACACCTGCTACAGAACTTTGACCAAGTACTCTCAGTTTCTCCATGCCTCAGTTTCTTCATCTGAAACGTCAAAAATAACGATACCAATCTCCTAGGCTGAGAGATAGTTTTAAATAAGTGAATGCACACAAGACCCTTAGCAGTGTCCCATGATTAATGAGTGTTATTCTTGCCTTCCCACGGCCCTTCTATTTTGAAACAAATCACGCCATTTTAACCTGCCACACTTCAATACGTACCTCTGAAAAAGACCAACGGCAACAGAAAGAGTAGCACCCCATATCGCATCTAAAAATACGTTTTTTCCTTAGAAGAATTGTTGATCTTCTGGAAGCCACAGAAGTAGGAAGGAAGAGACTCAAGTCAGGGGCTTGGGCAAGTTTTCC